CTCTTCTATCTCTTCTAATAAGCTCATGCCTGCTTCTCTGAGTGACATGTCTAAAATCTTTTTGGCATGATTGCAAAGACCAATGAGAAAGGACTGCTCTGGCTGCCACAACTCTGTGGCAGGCCCTTGCCCTATAACAATTCCAAATATGGTCATTTTACCTATTTGATTCCTCACTGTCACCTCTTAGACCACTCATCTTTGTTTTAAAAGATATTACTTAGGAAATTATGACACAATGCTGGATACCCCATGATCCCTCCATGTGAAGCCTGACCAGTCACAGTGTAGAGAGAGAAATAAACATAGCTACTGTCTTTCGGGATATGAGGCAAAACATTAATGTCAAGAGCCAGGCAAGTAAATACACATTCACTTTTTTGAAACATAGTTCATGACTTTATATCAAGAAATGATGACGCACAGAAAGGGAACTCACAGACAACATCTTCAGGTAGAAGAGCTGGGAGTTTGAAACCTGCTGGACGCAGCTAAGGATAGAAGGAAAAAAAAGCCCAGAAAGGCTGGAGGTAGATTTGGACAAACTGTCAAATCACATCTTGTTAGAATGCAGATTCTCAGCAGGTCTGAGAGGGGGTCTGAAATCCAATATTTTAACAAGCTCCTGATGCTGCTGGTCCCTAGTCCACCCAAAGAGCAGCCTGGAGAGCTACAAGGTGCTACAAAGCTAATTAATTCTGTGCTACAGAATCCAAAACTAAACTCCATTATCCCAGTGCTAAAGAGAACAAACAAAAAAAAAATAAAATTTTAACAAAGTTTTCTAACTAATGGACTGGACAAGAAGCTTGTCCAGTCCATTAGTTAGAAACTCTCCAATAAGCAGATGACAATATCAACAAAGTAGGGAAACATCTTGGCTTGCAAAATCCTTTATGCTGCACTTGGGTAAGGGGTTGGGGTTATAAAATACTGGTCAGTGTGAACACTGCTTCCTGTCACGGAATAGAAAGTAGCCCATTTACCTCATTTCAGCACTCAGGGCTGCTGTGGAAAGCTCCTGAAGGGACTGTGGGAGGCAGGAGGAAGACGAAACAGCAGGTTTTCCTCTGCCAAGTCCTGTGTGTGGGAGAACTGACACCACCTCTTCTGCTGAGAAAGGCAGCAGGATCACAGGCTGTGCAGAGGCTGGCTCTGCACGACCCCTGCTGGGCCCACTCCCCTGCAGTTCCTGTGAAGTCCCAGCTATATTTGCTCTTTGAGGAAACACTTTTTTCCCCTCTAATGCAGGGGTTGCATCCACTGGTGCTCTGCTGCTAAGCCACATCCCCAGCCCCTTCTATTTTTATTTTGAGACAGGGTCTTTCTTAGTTGTCCAAGAAAATAAAATAAAACTGGAGGGCAGAAGGACATACTGTACTTATCCTCTTTGACAGGACCCACCCTCTCCCTAAGAAGAAGAGATGGATGGGATCATTGCACTATGAACACCTTTGTAGAAATAGCACAATGAGACCCATTAATCTGTATAATTAGTATGTGTTAATAATTGTAGTAAGAAATTGAACTTGTGATCCTCCTGCCTCAGTTTCCTGAGTCACTGGGATTACAGGTGTGTGCCATCACACCCAGCAAGGGCACACTGGTATGTGACCAAGGACTAGTCAGTTGATCAAGTCTTAATGCCACTAAATATTGGCTTACTTTTTCCCCTCCCAGTTTATGGCTGGTTTTAATTTTTCGGAGCTAACAAGTTTGTAGGAAGCCCCATTTGCTTGCTGATCTTTATTCTGAGTCTCTTGATGATTTGGTAAAGGATTAGTGAGTAATAACCTCACTTTTACAAGGCTTGTTTTTAAGGTAGATTGAAAAACTGGTATTTTATAAGCACAAGTTCATCTCAGCAGAACGAGGAGAAAGACAAAACTGCTGCCTGTTCCCTCTACTAAATCCACAGAAGCCATGGGATGAGGATAGACCTTCACTTTACCTTGCTTTCTTCTAGTGGATTAACAAAGCCCTCTGTGAATTTAGATTTCCAGAGAGCCAGTGATCCTGAATGTACAAGTACTGAGTCAAAATAGGGGCGAGGTGGTAGGAGAGTGTCATTCACAGCCAAGTGGGTTGATCTGTTCCCTTCAGGGGCTCTGCAGGGCTGACCCAAAGCAAATGTGCTCTCTGGAGTGGGAGAGTCATGCTGGGTGGAGGCAGCAGCTCGTCGTGGGTCTCCCTAGAGGAGTTACTCAGTAGAATCTGTATCCCAGCAAGCAGTGAAGCAGAGGTCAGCTCAGGGGGCTCTGTCTGTTACTGAATTTTAAGAAATGCTTTCCCCCTCAACTCTGTGATACGGAATACATGGAGAAATTGTGGACAAACCAGGAGAGTTAATAAACCTAGCTTTGTGATAATATGTTGTGGTGGTCTTCACTATAGCTAAGCTATGGAAGCAGCCTAGCTGCCCATCAGCAGATGAATGGATGAAGAAAATGGGTTACATATTCACAGTGGAGTATTATTCAACCATAAACAAGAGTGGGATACTATTATTTGCAGGAAAGTGGATGGAACTGGAGATCATCATGTTAAGTGAAATAAGCCAGACACAGAAAGTCAAGTGTTGTATGTGTTCTCTCATATATGAAAATATAAAAGAAAAAGAAAAGACAGTAGAAGAGGAATTGCTAGGGATTGGGAAGGAGGTTGGAGGAAGGGGGAAAGACGAGACAGGAAAAGGTAGAAGAAGGAAAGATGGATGTGATTAGTGCACTATGTACACCTTCGTAGAAATAGCACAGTGAGACCCATTAATCTGTACAATTAGTATGTGTTAATAATTGTAGTAAGATATATAAATAAGAATATTGAGAATATTTCTGGGGAACTCCAAGAATTCCACAATGATAACTGGAAGCTTGCTGGGTAAACTGAACCGTGTGTAACTGACTGGAACTGGCTTGGCGCGGGGTTCTAAGAAGAGAGGGGTTCACAGACACTGTGACTCAACCCTGAGACACACACAGTGAGCACCCTTCCACTGGGAACTGTGGTGTGACTGCTAACTTTTATGTGAGGTTCACCTTCTCCCACCCCACCTCCCAGTGGCCAGTTATTTTTTACTGAAGACTATTTCTAGTAAGGTTCCAGTGATCCCCATTAGAATTCTTGGTAAGTCCAGAATTTTATCAGTGCAACTCTTTTCCTCAGGAGGGTTCACAATGAACAGTTTTGTTCCCCCAGCAAATCTTCTTTGAAGAGACTTAAAAATTAAAAGTCTATCACCCTTCACAGACCTTCCAGCTCAGCCTACTGTGTATCTGCCACTGCAGGGTTCCTGTAAGTGGGTGTGACCATGCTCTTGAAGAGGCAGCAGCTTTTGGGGCAGATTTTTTTGTTTTTAATGGAAATGTGTGTGTGTGTGTGTGTGTGTGTGTGTTTTAATGGAGTGATATATTTATATTTTCACTTAAAAAATTATATCCGGATTGAATTTCAAGTCAGAATTAAAGATGTGGTGATGACTAGTGAGGCTAGGTTTGGAATATTTGGATTAGCAAAAGCTATTTGGTCTTTCTCTCCACTTTCTCTAAGGATACTGGAAAATGCATTTCCTTGTTCTGTAGCAAAGGGGATGGTTTCCCAAAATAAAGACCATTTAAAAGGGAGGGTGATTAATAATGACAGACGTTTCATAAAATTTGGCAGGAAAATACACCTGCAGGAGGTGAGGGAGAATTTTGAAATCTATTTGCTGAGTAATGATGTCAGTTTCATTCCACCATCTTTCTTACCTCCTGCCCCATAGCACCTTGGTTTTGCTGAGGCTAGCTTTGAACTCATGATTCCCCTGCCTCAGTCTCCCGAGCTGCTGGGATTTCAGGTGTATGCCACTATGCCCCGAAAGGGCTATATTAATATTTTGTGGAATACCACAATTTATTAAATCATCCTCCTTTTCTTAGACAGAATTAACATTTTATTGAGTGCTTGTTTGTGTGCCAGACATTCTATATATTTTTATACTAATTCTATGAAGTTGGTATCTCCATTTTGCAGATAAAAAAACTGAGGCTTACAGAAGTTAGGTAACATAAAGGAGGCAGCATGACTTATAAAGGTAATGAGTCAGAATTAGGTCTCGAATTAGAAATTGGGGCCCAACCTTTTCTTCTATACCATGTTGGCTCCCAGTTTTTAAGATTTATTTAGAGGTTACTGAAGATATACAACCCTGGTCCTTAGCAAAACTTGGAATTCTGTTTACAATATGTCTTTTATAATATGTTCTAATTATTCTCCTTCTGAGTATTTTTTCATTCTGTCTTCAGGCTGAATCTTTTAGTTCCTTTCTTCCTCAACCCAGAAAGTATCCAGATACTAGGGAAGGGGACTGAGGAAAGTGGTGACACTTTTTTTCTTCTGGCTTTTGTTAACAGCCTTGGTCCCCCTATCCAATCCCTCAGCACTCTGCCATTGGACTCAGTCTTGCAAGTATGGGGATGCTCAGAGCTCAGTCCTTTTGGAAATACAATCCAGACATTTTTGTCAATGGTGTGCATGTATGAGATGAAGATAAGAAGAGAAAGTAAAAAATCACGTTTAGTATCAGGGAAAATTATCCACAGTGGGGCTGATTGTAGATGCAAAGAGCTAACAAAGAGAAAAGAAACAAATACCTGAGAACCTGGCTTGGTTATACAAAAGTAAAACTAAAGTCATCTGGATGGACTTGTGCACATTTCTATGTAACATTATACAAAATAATATGTGCCAGATTTATTTGATGCAACAGTTAATAAGGTTGTCTGATTTCATCTTATTAAAAAAATCAAGACATTTAGCTTTTTATCTTATAAAAAAGGTGTGTTAAGGAGGGCAAACCTCTGAAGATAGACAATAATACTGAATGTGGACCAGGAAATCTGGGAATACATATGCATATTTTCCAGCTGATGATCTGGGGTAACTTCACTTCTTTAGAGACTAAGTTTTCTCTCCTACAAGATGGAAATATATTTCTTACCATCAAGGGTTACTGGGAGGCTGGGGATGTAGCTCAGTGGTAGAGCATTTGCCTAGCAAGCAGAAGGCCTTGAGTTCAATCCTCAGTACCATAAGCAAATAAACATGCAAAAACTAGAGGAGATTTGTAGTCAAGCAAGCTGCAGAGTGGAATGTCATAAGCTGTAGGTGGTCCACATTCAGGCAGTCAGTGATAAATATTTTCAGAACTCCCTTCTGAGAACCCACTCTCAATGTCAATGTAGCAAACACCAAAGCTCCAACCTGCCCTCAAGAATGATAAAAATAACTCCAATTTGAGGATCTGTCACTATGGGTAGGCACTCATTAAGTGATTCTTTCAGGTTATTTTTCTTAATCATCACAATAACTCTGAGATGGATGAACTATTATTATTCTCAATTTATAGATGATAATTAAGAATCAAAGAGATTAAGGGCTGTGATGGAGTCAGTGAGTAAGAGCAGGCCCTGTGCTAGGTGCTGTGGATCTGATGGTGAGTGACACCCACAGCTCTCTACTTTCAGGGAACTTATATACTAAAGGGGAAGAATGACTGTATTCATTGCTGTCAAAAATGCCAGAGAAATTAGTAAAGCTTTATAAAGTATAAAATATCCAGAGCACAAGAAGTCATGAAGTTGGAGTATTACGCAGCACTAAAAAATGACAAAATCATAGAATTTGCAGGGAAATGGATGGCACTAGAGCAGATTATGCTTAGTGAAGCTAGCCAATCCCTAAAAAACAAATACCAAATGTCTTCTTTGATATAATGAGAGCAACTAAGAACAGAGCAGGGAGGAAGAGCAGGAAGAAGAGATTAACATTAAACAGATACATGAGGTGGGATGGAAAGGGAGAGAAAAGGGAAATTGCATGGTAATGGAGGGAGACCCTCATTGTTATGCAAAATTACATATAAGAGGTTGTGAGGGGAATGGGAAAATAAACAAGGAGAGTGGATGGGGTAGAGAGAGAAGATGGGAGGGGAGGGAGGGGGGATAGTAGAGGATAGGAAAGGTAGCAGAATACAACAGTTACTAATAGGGCATTATGTATAAATGTGGATGTGTAACCGATGTGATTCTGCAATCTGTATTTGGGGTAAAATTGGGAGTTCATAACCCACTTGAACCTAATGTATGAAATATGATATGTCAAGAGCTTTATAATGTTTTGAACAACCAATAAAAAAAATAAATTAAAAAAAAAGAAGTCATGAAGTACTTCAATAATAACATTTAAAATAATTGTTCCCATACCTGCCACCCATCTCGGATCTTCTGGTTGAAGATTCCATATTCATATCGGATGCCATATCCATAGGCCGCAAGTCCCAAGGTTGCCAGGGAGTCCAAGAAGCAGGCTAAGTTAGAGAGTACCACAAAGGAAAGAGTAAGCTTAGTGTAAATTTCAAGGCTTTCTCCCCAAAACAGACAGCCTCAGAACAGTTTTCTATGAGAAACCACTTTTATATTTTAAACCACAGAGACTGCTGTACAATGGGTATTGATTTTTTAAAATAACATTTTTTTTCTAATTATAAAAATAACACCATAGAAAAGTTAGAAAATATAAAAATTTATAAAGAGGAAAATAAATATCACCTATTACCTTACCATCTAGAAATAACCACTGTGTATATGCTGGTATTTTGTTTGAGAACAGATAAGGAAGCTACCTACTTGAGATATATAGATTATTGTTACCTACACTGTCCTTTCTAAGGGAAGCTGTTTCTATTGTCCCCCTGCTTAAAAAGATAGCTCCAGGGGAGTATAACCTATACGTGACCCATGTCCTGACTACTAACTAGACCTTTGTGGAGGACTCTTTCTTACTGAATTTCACTGTTGTTGGGATATATATGACCATGTGTTCTAAGAAGTCTGGACTAGGAAATGAACCTTGATTAATTGGCCTAGTAATTTTATTTTCTTCATCAGTGACTGGCATTGGCTTGGGCATACATTGACACTCAATCCACTGAGTGTTACTAACAAGGTGCAGGGAACTACTATGAAAGATTTTCCTTGCTGCCACCATCTTTTGCTTCATGGTGGGGGTTGGGTGGGGATTTAGAGGGTAGTGTAAAAGAACCACAGAGACCTAGAGTCCTGACATAATCGTGATGTTAAATAAACCCTTCTTCAAATAGCTCAACCTCTGCAGTTCCTGTTCTGTGATAACACACTGCCTTGTTGGTTGGATAATTTTTTTTTTTGCTAGGTTTTCTATTAACTAATGACACAGCATCTGAACCAGAATAGCCAATCATCAGGCAGAATAGGGATTTATCTTGTGGTTGGGTGCAAACTCAGGGGTTTCACTAACCAGATTGTCCCTCTCAGGAATTTGAACTGATGCAGAGAATGAGGAAATGTACAATAGGAATTAAAAACTGAAAAGAGCATTGAAAGCTGTAAAACAAACAGAAAGATGTAAATCAAACAGGTTCATAGGTCAACTCTAAAACAGAGATCCATGAATGCCAATGACTGAGGCCTTCAAGTTATTTTAACATGTCCAGCCCCTGTGCCCATGTGGCCTGGCTCTACTCCATTTCTTCTCTCTCTGGGTTATGGCTATATGGCTTTTTCTGGGTCCTGACCAGTTCCTCCTTAGAGCCTGACCACAATGGGGTCCCAACCTTTCCAGTCAGGTAAGAGATGAGATCACGTAATGAGAATTACTCAGCCTCATTTGCTGCTTCACTCGTTGACCTTACCAGTCAGCTGAAAAAGCGAAGTCATTTAAGTTCTCATTGTTAAATGCACTTTCCATTGGCACTGCTGGTCTTCCTACAGCCCAGGAAGCCTAGTAATGCCCTTACAACTCAGGTCATACCACACAAATATGTGAGTTGAGCTGCTGTGAACACAGCAGTGGACAGCAGTGAAATAAAAGAGACAGTTTGGAAACACTTAAGTGCACAGGGAGGATCTGGTTAACTGTGGGGTTTTAAGCAACACCTCACAGGTTTTGAGCAATGTCTGTTTTGTTCAACTTCCTTTCTCTGCTGGAAATTGTCTGGATTCAATTCAGCCACAGTGAAAACTCAAGAACAAATTCATTTACGATAGAGCATACTTTGCACTTCTAGGAAGCCTGTCTGCTGCTTTTAAGTGTGGTTGTGCATGGCATCTGAGGAAACATCAATTGGCCAGACAAGATGATACATTCCCAGTGTCACTTACCAGCAAGCCTCCCAAGACCACCATTGCCAAGTCCAGCATCTTCTTCAATCTCTTCTAACTCCTCCATATCCAATCCAAGCTGACAATGAAAGGAAAATAATACCGGATGTGGATACAAATATAGGCCATTTGGGTCAGGTACCCAGGTGTATTTGTGTACTTGAACCAGTTTCATTTCCCTCACAGCTCATTCTGGCATCAGATGCCCACTGCAGACACTGGCAACTGCAAATGCCAATGGTACGATATGGTACAGCAACATCATGGACTCTAAATGACCGTCACAGACTCTGCTACTTCCTTACTGGTGACCCTGGGTAAGTTACTAAATCTTTTTATGCATTGCACTCTCTTATTTTAATAAGGTGGGTGATAAAAAAATATATGCCACATTTAGAGTTGTTGAGAATTAAGAGATTATGCAAAACATATTCCTGGACAGATATTTCTCAATAAATGTTAACTATTATTATTATTATTATATGCGTGTGTGTGTGTGTGTGTGTGTGTATGGGGTAGGGTTAAAACCTCAGAAATAGTCCAGTACCAAGCTGACATTTGCTGGACTGTAGGAATTTGAACATGAGCAAAAGGTGCAAGGTAAGACTTTTCAGTATGGACTGAAGATCATCTTCCCATGACCACAGTATATTTACTCAGTAGGGTCAAAAACTGTTAACCCAAATCAGTGAGTCACTGCAATGAGATGACTGGAGGCCCGACAGCTCCCAGGAAAGCCTCAGTCCCGCAGTCCAGGTGGATGGAGATAAAATCTTCTACTTCTTGCTGGAGTAGATAAGAAGCTACTGGAAGTCAAGGAGCATCTGTGAACTTGGAATGAAGGTAACTGGTTGTCCATGGGCTTCCTGCCCCTAAGTGTGAGGAGTCACACAGGCAGAGTCTATTAGCACCACTGTGGGCTCCTGTCAGAGTTCTGCAGCCTTTAGGTCACTGTGGGTTGCTAATTTTACAATGAGGAAATTGATAGCCAGATAAGTTGCAAGACCCATTCTATGCTGACTAGATGATAATCTAACCCAAACTTGGCTAAAGGATGGCCTGTTGTGAAATGAGGATGTTCTTTTCTGAATGTCATTCAATCACGAAATTGAATATTTTTTAAGATGGAAAACTAATTTACTTATTGGGAATACAGGCCTGAGATGTAACTCTGCTTGAAGACAATGCTCCAGTTTTCATGATCTCTACTCTTATATCACAAAGAGCTTTCTCATGTAAACCTTGACCATTAAATCTTATAAGAGTTAAGCATGATTTTGCTTCATTTCACTATTTTGAATTTAATCCCTAGTAACCAGAGCCTACTAGGATCCTTGTGCAATCCAACTGTAAGTGCTAGCACTCAGGATTTTTAAATTCTAAAAATAAAAGTAGGATCTAAACCTTAAGCAAGAAGCTGAGGAGCACTTCATTTCACTTGGTTTTATTTTTTATTTTTTGGTACCAGAGATTAAACCCAGGGGTGCTTAATCAATGAGTTACATCCTCAGCCTTTTTAAATTTTATTTAGAGACATGGTCTCCCTGAGTTGCTTAGGGCCTTGCTGAGTTCCTGAGGTTGGCTTTGAATTTGTGATCCTCCTGTCTCAGCCTCCCAAGCCACTGGAATTATAGTCATGTGCCATGGTGCCCGCCCCAACTGTCAAATTGTGATCAGTTCTTAAAAAGTGGACTCAAGACCAAAGTAAAACTTGCAGTTCACACAGCAGAGACTTTCGAAGGCTTGTTCAGTTGCTAATTTCTAAAATGCAATTTTTTGTTTTAAGCAAAGCTATATTATTTTCAGCTAATATTAGGGGAAGTAAGGAAAAGGGAAGTGGAGGAAAATTGCAATGGTTCCTTCACAGGAAATGCTCTAAACCCACACAAAGCCCTCAG